TGGGGTGGGGTGGGTGGCTGGACCAGCACATTTAAGGGAACAGTGGGCTCTCTCAGTTTTTAACACTGTTTAGAGGAAGGATGGATCCAGGTCTCTCACAAGAGGAGACGCCTATTTGTAAACGATGTGGACGGAGGGCATTGTACCAGATGGGAGTGACACCCACAGGCGCCCTGCAAATGGAGCGGCCGGTGCAGGGGTCTTCCACGTTGGGGGGGTGGGGAGGAGCCTGGGGGTGGGGTCTGGGGTTGGATCTCAGGCTCTTATTTATGGCATATATGTCAGATGTGGGTGTGGTGGTGGTGACTCTGAAATCCGAGGAGCTAGAACAGGTCACTGTTTTTTGATATTACCTACAAATTACACTGCCTGGCTTTAAAGGCTTTCCTTTTTCCTCTGGTACTACGAATGGACCATTTTTATTCTCAGTTTGCCTTTTTTTTTTTTTTTTCACCTGGCAGAGAGCATGAGAAAGATAAAATATTTGCACAGCCAGTTTTGGAAATTTCTGGTTGGCTGTTTTCATGTTAAAAAAATTAAAAAACAAACACGAGATTACTTTCTGCCTCCTTGACTTCTTGTGCGTATGTGTTTGGCTTCTGAATGCACAGAGGAGCATTTTCCAGGCTGGCTGTTCCACCTTCTGTGAGATGCAGGGCAGGAACTGGCGTCTACACGTGAAGCAATATTTATTTCCTGTGACCTCACAGCTTTGGATGGCAAAGCAGTTGGTCAGCATGACGTGAAGAATCAGTCCAAAAAGCTGCCACAAACCCTCTTGATGAGAGAATTTTTAAAAACTTTTTTTTTTTTAACAAAAGAAACCCCAGTAATATGAAGGACATGAATGTTAGTAATTACCACACACTGAAAGTATCGTTTAGCACAAAAAGTAAAACTTTCGAAAAATTTAAGATCCTATTTAATAAATAATTTTAAGGAACCACTTATGTAAACCTTGAATAAATTACTGAAAACTCCACGTGCTGTGGATAATTAAAAACAAAAAGAAATTACTCACAGGAGATACTCAAATTAGTTTATTATATCAATAATTCTTCAAACAAGTAAAAACAAAAATCCCCTTCCGTATTATTATTATTTTTTCTGCTCTTTATCTCGGGGAAAGCATCCTTTCTGGAGAAGGAGAAGCTGGCGCCAATGAAGAGATGGTCTACCTCCTGTGTTTTCTGAAAATACACCCACAGCGAAGCTGGGTGCTTTCTCCTCTCTTTCTTGGGATTATTAGAGGCTATTCTAAGGCTCTCACAGGTTTTAAAGGATTCTTTTGCTAGTGAGGATTTTACCCATCGTATCTGTATTTCTTGGAAACGAGATCTTTCCTCAGTGAGGCAGGTTTAACGCCTCAGTGTCCTTGGCCAAGAATGGTATTCTCCAGAGGTAATCTTGGAAGGAAGACGCTGCATATTGCTGCTCAGAACAGGGTAGCTAAGGACACATTATTTTTTCCTCAAGAAATGTAAGGAGGCACCAAAATAGGGACCGCTCAGGGATGGGGCTGCCCCTCATGTGTTCTGGAGCCACAGTCAGGGTTACCCGTACCCTGCAGAGGGTACCCCGATGGGAGCGGTGCCCCTCCACCTGGCTTGATCCCAGACAGATGCGGGTGGAGGTGGAGGTGGGGGTGGGCTTCCTTCCCGGTGGCCCTCAGCCCCTTCCCTCTGGAAAGAGGCGCAGGCCGGGTTTCAGGGCAGCCTAGAGGGGGCTTACACAGTGACCGCAGGGTCAAGTTCTCGCCTCTCTCCTGGGGCACCGATGGTTGCTTCCTAGGGGCCACTCTGGTGACAAAGCATTGTGGAAGTGTCTTCGAAGGAGAAATGTGAGCAGGCTGTCATCTTTGCTCATATATGGTCAACTCCAAATTGTGACTTCGGAACCTTGCCTTTGGGCCCCAAGGTGTCTTTGGAAAGCTCCTGTCACCTGAGCTGCCCGGCACCGGGAGTGATCGCTACACCTCACCACGCCCTGCGAGGTAGGTTGTCCGGTGCCCATCCTACAGACACCCGCGGCTTTGATGGCAGTGTGAATGTCGCTCGAGCCGGGGACTGTGGGAGGAGGTTTTGCTTATGAGATGGAGCCGTGTATTCCTAAAGGGTCACGGGGACCACCAGGGCGCCAGTGGGAGGCCAACCGCCCTGTCCTCCAGGGGCCCGGGAGGGGCACAGGTGGGAGCCCGAGGCAGAGCCGCCACCGCGGTCCCGGGGCCGCGCGTTTGCTTCGAAACCCTGGGTGGCAACAATCGCACGCAGGTGACCGCTACATGGAAGAGGTCAGTCGCCGGGTTAGGGAAAAAAGCCAAAAAAAAAAAAAAAAAAAAAAGGCATGTAAAACACTCCCTTCTAAAAACAAAGGGCTGCAAATTCTTTATTTCTCTTATTGAAGAACAAAAATACCCTTGCAATGGCTATTGAGTTTCCACAGGTACGAGGCAGATGCTAGCTAGCACACCCACTTCCAACAGTATGACTTGTTTCCTATCCGTCTACTACCTGAGTGGCGTCAGTGTAGGTTCAGGCACCATTAGGAACGTTTGACCAAACACGTACACAGCACGGACAGAGGATCGCCGGCCTCCCGGTGGACCAGGGCGCGGAGGAGACACCAACAGCGTGGAGAGGACAGCCCAGCCGGCGGGGCCGCGGCGCGCGCTCAGGGCCGGGCCGCGCGCGCCTCGCGCCGCCGCCGCAGCTCCTCGCGGTAGCAGTACGAGCAGTAGTGCTCGGTCTCTGCGCGTCCGTAGAACGCGCAGTTCTCGCGCTGGCAGCGCCGCTGCGCCGGCCCCGCGCCGAGGCCGCCCCCGCCGCCCTCACCGTTCGATCGCGCGACCGGCGCGTCGGCGTCGGCAAACTCCAGGCCGTCGCGCGCCGCGCCGAAGCCGTTGGTGTAGGTCTGCGACTTGGGCTCGGCCGCGCCCGCCGCCCCCGCCGCTCCGGGCAGGGTTATTGGGACGGCGCGCGCCAGCGACTCGACCGTGTTGACGGTGCGCAGGGCAGCGGCGCGCGCCGGGCTGTAGCTCTGCGACGACAGCGAGCGGTTCTGCTGCGGGTACGTGGCGCACGGCCGCAGCGCGCCCACGGCCGGGGCGCACGCCTCGTCCCGCGCGCCCGCCGCCTGCACGTGGATGACGCTCTGGCGCCCCAGCGCTGGGGGGCTGCGGCCCGGGACCGGTCCGCTGGCACCCGCGCGTCGCGCGCCGCCGCCGGGGCCCGGGGAGGCCGCGCCGCCCGCCGCTGCCCGCGCCGCCCGCGCGCCCGCCGCCGGCCCGGGGCTCGGGCGCTCCTTGAGCTTGAGCACCAGCTGCGTGGGAGGCCCGGCCGGCGGGCCCGGCGAGGCGCGCTCGGGGCCCGGCGCGCCCTCGGCCTCTGGCCTGCGCGGCGGCCGCTTGGCCGTGGAGGCGGCGGCGGCGGCGGCGTCGCGGCGCCGCTGCTCCTGCTCGGCGCTGAAGCGCTCCTGCGCGCTGGTCAGGTAATAGCCGATCATCTCCTCGTGGAACTGGTGCCGGTGGCTGGTGAGCAGCAGGCCGGCGAATATGAACTTGCGCTCGCCCTGCATGGCGGCGCGCAGGATGTTGAGGCTCAGCTTCACGTCCGTGCTGTACTTCCAGGCGTCGCCGCGGGGCCCGCCGCCCTTGTCGGCCGGCGACGCGCCCGCCGTCTTGTCCGTGGGCGACGGCGTGGTCTTCTCCGAGGGCGACGTGCTGGCCGAGGCGCCCGACTCCTCCCTGCTGCCCTTGCGCGCTTTGGCCTTCTTCTCCTTGCCGCGCTCGGGCGGGTCGCTGTGCTTGCCGCTGGCGGGGTTGGCGCGGCCCATCTTGCCGTGCACCAGGCCGCCCAGGCCGCCCATGTTCTTCTTCAGCTTGATGCCCAGCGTCTTGCTGAAGCTGCCCAGCTTGTTGGCCACAGAGTCCGCGCGGGTCTTGTCCTTGTCCTTGCGCTGCTTCTCCTTCTCCTTGTCCTTGCCATTCTTGCCGTTATTGCTGTTGGAGTTGCTGCACACCGAGTCGCGGTCCGAGTCCAGCGAGTCGGGCAGGGACTGCACGTCCTCCCCCGCCGAGGCCGTCGGGGACTCCGGCTGCGCCAGAGGGGCCTGCAGGGGAGAGGGAGGGCAGGGACGGGAGGAGGTTAGAGATCAGTTGGCGCCACGCGGCCGGTGGAGGCAGATCCCGCCGCCGCGGTGTGGCTTCCTGCCTCACTGCCCCAAACCCGAGCTGTGTCCCAGCTTGAGAGTCTCCTGATTCTCGATCTAGAGCCGCTGCCTTCACAGCCCTCGTGGGGGCGAGAAGAGAACACCCACAGCCACATAATGACATACTCCAGGCAGCTGGACTCTGGAGCCAGACTGCCATCCACTGTCACTCGTGCCACCAGTAACATGGGGTATCGGGACCTGCCTCAGGGAGCCCTGTGAAGTTTAGATACATGTAAACGCTGGAGTACAAAGCACTCTGAGCAGTGCCAGTTTGTCCTGGGTACTGTGTGCCAGGCACTGCCCTCCTTGCTTTCCTCATGAAACTTAAAAAATATTCGTTACGAACCCTACGTTATGGGTAAGTAAATTTATGTCTGGGGAGGGCCAATTATTTGTAATTTTTGTTTTTTAAACAAATCCCTTTTCCTGGGACTTCACTACTGAGATCACAAACATCAGTCAGATACTTAAAGCGAATCCCTCTTAGCATCTGGAGGCAGGGCCAGCATGGGTCCTCCCTGGGGGAGGGGGCCAAGTGGGGCGCCAGCCCCCTTTCTCACAGCCCTCCCCTCCTGGAGGGGAGAAAAAGAGGGGAGAGAAGGAGAAAAGGATCGGGTGCCGAGGAATCGCGCCCTCGGTTCCCTGCCTTTTCCAAGGACCCACACACAGTTTTATAGTTAATTCCGCTCCGTGGCAGCACATCGTGTTCCCATCTCGGCAAGAGAGAGTTTTGTGTTGTGAGTTGCCTACGGTTTGTTTTCTGAGTGGGCGTGTTTATTCCTGTCGCTCTGGAGAAAGTAAGGGGACAAAAACTCTCCTAGCCGGAGCGCGCGCCTACGTCCAGACTCGCAGGCACAGGCGCACAGAGGCACGCGTTGCAGCCGAGCCGGGGCGGCGGGGCCGCGGGCAAGGCTGGGATGCACTTCGCCTGCCCGCCCCGGGCCGAGTGCACCTGCCGTCCGTCCCGGCGCGCGCCAGGCTCACCCGGGTCTCAGAGGGGATCCGGATCCACGTCACATTCATGTAGCTGTGCAGAAGGTTCAGCTTGGCTTCTAGCGACAGGATCAGGCTATCGAGAGAGGAACACCGAGTGAGATGCGCCCCAGCTCGCCCTCGCGCACCCCGCCAGTGCAGCCAACCAGCCCCGAGGAGCAGGGGCGCCGTGCCCAGCCCCTCCCTGGGAAGCCCGGAGACAGACCGCCCCGTAGGGCGCCAGGGGAGGGGACACACGGTAGGGTCTTACTGGGCCAGCCGGGCGTTATCATTGTCGTCTTTCCCCCACTCCCAGTCCTTCCCGGGGTCCACCGCAAAGTGCAGAGGCAACAGCTTGTGCTCTGAATCCGTCAGGGGGATCACGGCTGGAACGCAAAAGAGAGAGACCCGTGCCAGGTGGCCCGGGGGCGGGGACGGGAGGCTCGAAGTCCCCGTGACCCCCAGGGAAGACAGGAAAAGGCCACGGAGACCAGGTGTCTCCATGATTGAGGAAACCGAATGGAGTTGTACACAGGACCTCTACGCCAGGAGGGGTGTTAAGGCCGGAGGTTTCAAACGCACCACGAACAGTTTAAAAAGTTTCCTCTTTATTGTGGACGCTGAAGAGCATTTGGAGACCTGGGCTTGACCTGGGTAAAAAGGCAGGTGCCGTCCTTGGGCAGCAGACAAAAAACAGCTATTACTGCTTCTGTGGTTTCTAACGAAGGACCCAGGCCAGACAGCGCACTGAGCAAGGTCACCTGGGGGGGCCTCGAGGCCAGGCCTGCCCATCTCCTCCCAGAGAAGGGGAGCGAGGGCTGCCTGCCCATCTGCTCTGTGTTGCTGCGGGACCCACGGACCCTGTGGCCCTTGCCACAGGGAGCTCACATCCTGTACTGGGGACAGGATGAACAGGTGACATACAGCTCAGGCTGTCAGGTGGTGATAGCGCCCTGAGGGTGAACAGCAGGCTGAGGGAGCTTTGGCAAGCTTTTCTAGGGCCGACCAGTGAGCCTTCTGAGGAGGGAACGTGTAGGTGGACAAGGCAGTGAGGAGAGATGGGCTCCACACTGCACCCAGGGATGGATTCATCAAAACACACCCCTGCCCTGGGGGAACCTGGGCCCTCCTCAGAAAGGCTAGGCTGGAGGCTGCTGTTTACAGGTTTGTCTGGGGTCTGCTGGGAGCTTCTGAGCCTGGTGGGATCAGCTCCCTAGTGACGGGCTTACTCTTGTTGTCAGGGGCAGAAAGAATGCGGGGAGAGAATGGGAGCCATCCCGTTTCTGCCCTCTGGGCAGCAGCCTTGCGTGGGGACTGCACTAAGCTCCCCTGCAGGCCTCACCTGAGCATCAGGCCCCAGCAGAGTAGCACAGCCTGGGGCTCCACCAGGCCAGCTGCTATGTATGCTGGAGCTGGGCTCCGTGCCAGTGGCTGGTGGAGAGAGCACTGGGTGCTGCCCTGAGTGCTGCCTCGGGAACCAGCCTGCCCAAACGCTGGGGCTGGTATGTGTGGGTGCAGGGCCTGGTGCACCTTCAGGTGTGACACTCAGACCCTGCTGCGGCCTCCACAGGGAGGTCTCGCCTCCGCTGTCGCACCGGCTTAGGAGGCAGGTGTGGCCGGGCCCCTTTCTAGAGGGGGAAATGGGCTAGGAGCTGAAAGCTCATGGATGGGGGCCTCCCTGTTTCAGGCTTATCCTTGCCTATTCAGGCCCTGGAGCACCTCTCTCCTGCTCCTGTGCGGGCGGCCAGATGTTGCCTGTGCCTGATTGAACACATGGGGCCTCCCACACGCTGCTTTCCTTTGGCACCGAGAGCCCCATCTTTGGGGACACTGAGCCCCCAGGCACCACTCCAGGATGCACGGGGCCTTGTTCCTTCCTGGGGTTTACCCTACCTTCTTACTCCCCCCCCCCATGCTGGTCATGAATCTGGTGTCACTTCCCCAAGATTCATGACAAGGGAGTCATGGCAAAAACAGAAAAGACAAATCAATAAACAATAAATACATACATAAAATCTATGATTGAATACCGTTAATAATTGATTTTCTGGTAAGAAATCAGAAACATTGACTCAGTGCTGCCCTCCAGTTGCTAAAGACACACAAATAATCCTCTTCCTCTACCCCAGCCCCTAACCCCTCATATAAGGGAAACACAGCTTTGCTCCAGAATTTCCTTTTCATCTCGATGTGGCTGGGTGGCACTGTGCTCTGGTTTGGGAAGTCAGGGGCCACTTGGTCTGCCTAGGCCACAGACTGCTCAGTCCTGCCTTGATGTGACTGTGACACACAGGCTGCCCCTCCCCGGGCTGAGCTGCAGGGTAGTCACACCCAGGGAGGGCTGCAGGATAGCTCAGGACCAGCCTCCCTTGGGCCATACCCAGGAGCTAGTTCCATAGTTCCAAGGGTCACCACGACAACAGAGAGAGGGTTGTCCCGGCTTCCCACCCATGGGTGGGGGCAGGGGGTAGAGGCTCCGTCTGTAGACAGGGCAGCATGGCTTCCTGGAGGGCTTGGTAAAGGCACCCACTCCGGGCGCCATGCAGATGGCCAAACCAGTGCCCAGGAAATGGGCCCAAGGACTCTTAAATAAGCATCCTCTGTGGGTCTTAAAATCGAGCAAATCTGGGAAACTGTGTTCTAGAATAATAACCTGTTAGGAGCAGTTTCTGTGGGTGCATCGTGGGCGATTTTGGGTCTGGCTGTCCACCTTCCCAGGGGCGAGGTGCCTTGAGGGCACCTGTCCAGGCCCCCACCCTAGCACTAGGAAAGAGCACATGCTTACTCGCACCCATGGGACGTGAGCAGAAGTGCTGGGGGAAGCCCTGGGCGATGTGGTTGTGGGGTGGGTGCGCCTTCTCCCCTTCACCCCTTCCCGCCGTGATGCCTTCTGATGATGGCGGCCCTACAAGATATCAGGAATGGGCTCCTGACTCCCCACTTGGAGGGGACCTGCCTACCCATCAGGAACACCTGTTTTAGACTTTATCTGCAGGAGAATCAAACTTCTATCACGTGAAGCCACTGTGATTTTGGTTTATTTGTTTCAGATAAACCAGCTAAAGTAGTACAGCTGTACAGCCCACCTCAGCCTCCCTACCAAAGGGCTCCTGGAAATTCCTACACTAAGTAGCTGGACTGGAATGGACTTCCTGGACTCCCCACCCTGACGCCCCCCAGCTCCTCTGCCCCAACACACAGAGCAGAAGGTTGGAATCACCTGAAGGTGCTAGAGCCTGACCACCCAGCAGGCTCCTCCTGGCAGCCTCTCAGCCTGGATGTCTGAAGGCGTCTTCTGTGCAGAGGGCACAGCTGTGGCCCGCTGGTCAGGGCTGGGGCTGCAGGGCCCAGGAGCCCCACCTGTAGCCGTACAGCCTAGGGCGGCCTCGAAAACAGGCCTCTGTGAGCCTCAGGTACTTCCGTTGCCTCTGCCTCTCACTTTACACGCTTACTTTTTCCCTGTTGGAAGCCTGGCCTCACCCAGTGAGAGGGGGAGTGATGTGGTGACTTGCCCTCTGGTGGCAAATGTCAGGAACAGCAAATACTTTTCAAAATAAACCTGCAACCTTTTTTTTCCCCTTTGAAAAAACTCTCTTCTCTCTTTTAACCTGGAAACATATAGGCATCGTCTCAAACTAGCCTGGACAAAGGATAACCGAAGCAGCAACCAATTTTCAGTACTTACTTTCCAAAAAAGAGTGGAGACCTCTGGTTTGTGTTTGGGATGTAAAAAGCCGAAGGAGCAATGTCCCACCAGTATAATAACAACAAGCTATATGAACTGCAGATTCACAACTTTCTTTTGACCCGTCTGAGAGCTGAAGTTACAGGCAACTGGCTAGCCACAGGTGGAAAGACAGGTGCCTTTGAGGAGGGATGGGCATGAGCTTAACTGGACCCCACTAAGCTGGACCCCACTAAGAAGAATTCAGCTAAAATTGTTAACAAGTTGGTAAAGGAAGGGTGTAGCCTAGTGAAAGAATACAGAACCTTGGGGGCCACAGACATAAGGGAAATTCACAAGAACTTGCAGGCCCCTCTCCATGGGGCCTGACCTGGTGCTCACAAAAAGACTGGCCAGAATTCTGAGAAAGTGTCCTTCACGGACCTTTCCCATCTACTAAGGAAGGAACTGCAGAGAGCAGGGCAACACACACTGTTGGTCTTAGGGCACTGGGCCTTTCCAGTCACTCCCTCCCCCCAGATCCAGGGACACAGCACCCACCTAAGACAGAGGCTTAATCAGAACAACAGAAACATTACCCTTCTGGGCTCTGCCTCCTGCACCCAGGCTAACAAGCTGTGAGTAACAGCAGTCTACTGCTAGAAAAGGAGCAAGAATATGGAGAGAGACCCTCACCGAGGTGAGGCTCAGCACAAAGGTATAGCAGACAATGGGAAATACCAGCCCCACCATAAACACAAGATATAACTAGAAGGATTTGAAGGCTGGATAACCAGGGCAGCATCAGATCCTGACTAGGCTGATCCAAACCCCATGCAGCAAAAGGGAAGGAATCAAAACGATATACCTTAGTCTTTATTGCTCTACTCTAGATGTCTAGCTTTCAACAAAACATTTTTGGCATAAGAAAAGACAGGAGAAAACCAACATATTGACAAGAGAAAAGACAGGTGACAGAACAAGACAGATATGACACAGGTATCGAAACTATAGGATGTGATTTAAAATAACTGATTAGGGACTTCCATGGTGGTCCAGTGGTTAAGACTTTGCCTTCCAATGCAGGGGGTGAGGGTTTGATCCCTGGTCAGGGAGCTAAGATCCCACATGCCTTGTGGCCAAAAAACCAAAACATAAAATAGAAGCAATATTGTAACAAATTTAATAAAGATTAAAAAAAAATGAAACAACTGATTAATAAGTTGAAGACTCTAATAGAAAAAGTAGATACCATGCAGAATTTGATGGTTAATTTCAGCAGAGAGTAAGAAAGAGTCAAATCGAAATGCTGGAAATAAAAAAACACAATAATAGAAGTAAAGAATGACTTTGAGGGGCTGATCAGTAGACTTTACACACCTGAGGAAAGAATCTGTGAACAGTAAGATAGGTCAATAGACATTAATCAGATTGAAACAGAAAGAGAAAAAAGGGGCGAGGGTTGCAGAACAGAATACGCAAGATCGGCGGGGCAGTATCAGATAGCACCAGATCTGTGTAAGTGTAATCCCAGAAGGAAAAGAGAGACAGAAAAAAAACAGAAGAGATATTTAAATAAATAATGGCTGACATTATTTATCTAAATATTTCCAAAATGAGTGACAAACTCCACCACAGATCAAAGAGGCTAAGAAAAAAACAAGCAGGAAAAACAACAGCAACAAATCTGTATACATAGTATATTCAAACTGCTAAAAATCA